CGTGAAGAAAAAAGAAGGAGGGGAAAAAAAAGGAAAATTACATAACCAGTAGTGACCTGATTTTGTTTTTGGTATTACAGATATTTTGTGACTGGAAAAAGCTAAGCTTAGATAACTTCTGTTAGTATTTTAAAAAGTCTGTTCACGCTAAACTGTTTTGTTGTTTGTTGTTTTTGAACCCAACCAATATACCTGATCAGACAAAAGTCGTTGACTGTAAAAGCATCAACAAGAACAGCCGAAAATGGTATCAGCAACAGCGATTTTGAATAGATGGATACAGGAAGAAAACTTTAGAGTAAACTGTATTTTTACATTGCTCATCTTTGTACTTTGTTCTTTGTTTTGTCTCCTGTACATCTATTATTAAACTGTTGGTTATATTTGTGGGAGCTGTTTTTGGTTGTTTTTGTTGTTGTTGTTGCATTGCTGATGAGTTCAGCGTGTTTTGTACCATTCAAGTAGATTTATTGGATGTGAGCAATTTCTTTTTTGTTTGCTGAAACTCCCTAAAGCTGATACATTATTATCATCGTTTGTTTTGTTCTGAAACTTTAGTGCTGCCGACGCTGTTGTGGCCGCCGTTACTGTCGCTGTTCAGCTAATTACAGCTATAAAATTTATTGTACTTTTTTACCTTTCGGAACGATTAATATATTAAAAATTAATTTAAATGAAATTAACTGTATTATTGAGTAGTAATAATTTCGAGCAAGGGTGTCGAAGTTTTAATGGTTTTGAAGAAATGTTGGTAATGAGAACAAGGAAGAGAAGGGAATGGATAAATTTGAAATAGCTATTTAATATTCTGTTGTATCGGTCCAAAAATTATTACAAATTTTTTTCGAACGCTTATTTCTTTATTATTTTTAGCAGCGATATTTGTGGTATCAGTTTTATTGCTGCCGTCGTCGTATAGATGTTAAAAGTTTTTATCAATCAATTAACAACTCGATAACTTTCCTCACATTTGAAAAAAAAAAAAAAACATCCACTGTTGGTGAGATCATGCAAAAAAAAAAAGAACCTTTTTTTTTTTGTTCAAACAGAATTTTTCAAAATTTTGGCACCATAATTGAGGTACATAAAAATTTATTTCACTGCAAATTATATTCCTATAAATCAGAGTTACTGGCACCAGCATTCAACAAATTATTTAGTGCTTTGATGGTTAAGAGCAAAAAAAAAAAAAAAAAAA